ATATTTTACATTAACTTGGAGAAAAGTTTGCCTACTGAACATCCAAATAATGAGATTGTTTTCTTCAGGTGGTGTAGAATCAGGTGTCAAAATAGCTTTAGGACGTGCTTTGTGCTGTGCATAGTGTTGAAGGAAAGATAATGCTGGATGACAGTGAAACAAGATTGCTCTGGGGACAGAAAACCAGATTTCGAGACCTTCACCTTCAGATATCTAAAAATGCAGCACAGGTTGCAAATGACTGAAAATCCTTAGCATCTGGCAGCAGCCTGGTGCTCTGTGCTAAAGAGCTGGTGGTCATAGTCCAAGTCCCTGCAGCAAGGAGTTCACATTGTACATGGCACTATCTGGCAAATCTTTGTGGCGGTCCAAAACGAGGGGCAGGAGCTGACTTGGCACAGCAGCCCATGCTTTCCCTCATGTCAGAAATGTTCTCCCTAGATAAGGGCTGAGGCACACGTGCGGGTCGAGAAAAGTCCCCACCCCTCTTGCTCTACCAGCTCTCCGTGAATTAACAAAGGACTTCGTTTCCAAGGACTATCAGGTTTTGCAGTTAATATTTTTTCAGAAGGGCTAAACTTAGAGTGAAGAGTTGGAGGCCCATCTGGTGCAAATCGGTGGGGGCTTTGCAGGCTTCAGCAGGGCTAGGCTGACTTACACCAGATGATGCTATTCGAGAACTGAGCTACCCAACAATAATTATTAAAAAATGTCTTTGATTATGCATGTGCAACAACTATTTATGTTTACATTGCAGAGATTTGCATGTAGCACAGTGGGGAGTATTTTATCTCTTCAAAACATTGCACCAGCATAAATAATCCTCTGACATTCAAATGAGCAAAGAAATACCCGCTTCCTACCACAAGATGGACCATAAAGGTTTTTCTTTGTGCATCTTTTCCAAACAGATTTGTCAATAATCCTCAAATGCAAAGTTCATTCTAAAGAAAAATATGGGGAAAAAAAAAAAACCCACAAAGAAAAAGAGAGATGTTCTTTTCTAGGTGGCTATATTATGGACTGCAGGAGGGCTGAGATGCAGCCAGATCATCCTGCACCTGAGGGAGAAGGGGAGGAGGGAACCAGGGGAAAGCAGGGCATAGAAATGCTGTATAAAAGCCATCACTGTACCTCATTCGAGACCGTATTCAAAGCAAAAAGTCAAGGAATAAGAGCCAGCTGAAATTCAGAGTGAATGGTGAAGCAATTGGGCACAAAACCTATCAAAGGCAAAGATGAGATAACTCTGTGAAAACTGGGAGAGGTTCCATTGCAGCCCCAGCCTGGAGCAGCACAACAGAAGTCACCACCAGGGGAATTACACTGACATTTAAACTTTCAAAACAGAAATTGCTTAAAATATGCAGTAATCTGTTGTACCTTTAACTCACAAGAGGAAAGGAGGTTGAAAGCATGGGTAATATTCCTTTGATTCTGGAACAACATACAAGGGCCTCCTGCTTTGACTTCTACGGTGCTTTTGTTTTCTATTTGCTAATTGTGATTTGGAGATCCTTGGAAAGCATTGAACTTCTCAAAGTGGGGCACATTGCCTTACTCTGAATATTGCCTTCCTGCTCTGATGTGGCAGAACAGCCACAACTGCAAGGACATCTCATCTCATCGTACATCCTTGGAGCTCAGAATTCCCTGCGAGGCTGCTTTGTTTTCATATCCAAAAGACCTCATTGCTTTGGAGCAGACTCTGCTTTGGCCCAAGGTGTTGAGGCACGAGCATGAGCAGGCACAGTGATGAAGCTCAGATTGAAAGACCTAAAAACCCTATGCTCTCAGCTCTTTCTTCTGCTGAAATATGGAAGGAAAAAAAAAAAAAAAAAAAAAAAAAAAACCACATATAGGTATTCCTCACTTCTAACAGAGATAAATTTTGCCCCATGTGAGAAACCAGACAGCATTGAACTCAGCTGGGTGGTACACGAGGACTTGGTCTATTGCCCTACAAATCACTTTGCCTCCTCCTCCCTGTCAATGGAATGAGGGTGTGACAGTGACAAGGTGCCTCTCGGGGCATTCTGAATAGATTTTTTTATTATTATTTTTATTATTTTTTTTACTTTTAGCTCTTCAAAAATTACGTGTGTCACATAAGTGGTCAAGTTATTAAACTGAATTTAATTGGCAAAGTCTTGAGAAAATTTTCTATCACGAAGTGATATCTTTGAACAGGTGAAGGAGGTGGTGGGCCTGGCCCTGCTATGAGGATGCCATTCTGTGTGACATAACAGAAAAGCAGGGGAAGGAGAGCCCACTCAAACCACCAAGTCCCTAAAGGGGAAAGTATGTAAGGCATCCACTCAGCATCAGTGAGAGACAGAAACCTGTGATTTCTGAAATCAACAGGGTGAAAGCAAGCTTCTCTAAGAGTGCTGGCTGTTGCATTGATGGGAGAAGAGAAAAAAAAAACAGGCCTGTGTTCTGACAGAGCAATTCAGCAAGGGGAGCACAGCTCAGCTCGGAGCATGTGAGCACCAATCAGATAGGACAGATCTGCACTTCTGTGTCTTTATGGATTTATTTTTCCCTAAAAGCAGCTCTCTCCATTTTTATGCCTCTTTGGAGGAAAAAAAAAAAAGTAAGCTATGGTCTTTAAAACCCAGACTCTAATCCTGGCAAAGCAGCCAAACCTCCAGGCACTCAGCTCACCAGAATTTCAGTATGGGAGGAATCTGTCACTTTATCACTGCAACATGGGGCTGAATTCTCAAAGATGTCCCTGCAACGAGACTCAGAAATCTGCTACTAAGCCATCAGGGGATTTGCGTTCACGGTTTGGGTTTCCAACATGACAATAGGAAGTTTAACTCCAAATGCCACTGCACTGCACACGTGCAGGAAAAAAACAGAGTCAGAAAAGCCTCTTTTCATTTTCTGGGACAAGCATGAGTAAACTAAAGTGACAACTGTACTTTCGCTTTGCGTTCAGACTCCCTTTGATTTTAATGACAGCTTGGACACCCAGAAGCTGCCTTCATAGAGAGAAAGCTCATCAGAAGTAAAAAGAAGGGGAAAAAAAAAAAAAAGAGAGAGAGAGAGAGGGAGAGAAAGAAATCACACACACAAAAGTTTCAAAACTTCCCTAGTTTTGAAATTAATCAATGTTGAACACTGAAGCCACTCAGTGCGTATTCATTTAATACTCCTGAAACTTTCTGTGTTAGTGAGTGTAAAGCTATCTCCAGACCCTTACAGGGGCCACGTCTTACACACGAGATGAATCATTCTGACAGCACAAGGCCAGCCTGCTCCTTCTGCAGGGCAGGCAAAGGTACCACCAGGTCACTGCTGCTTGCTGTGTGAGCAGAGGTGCTGAGGGGCTCTGCACTGCATAGGACACGATGGAATTGGACAGGTGCAATGCAGTTATAGGCTGATCTTCTGTAATAGCACCAGATAGATTGGGCTTTTAAATCTGATGCTTGCTGTTCTCTTGGTTTTACTCCCCATCCTGATAAGCAATGTTTGTCTTTCTAATTTTATTGTTAACAAGTTTGCCATAATTATGCTTATTCTGTTGTTTACGCATTTCTAACTCGGTAATAATATTATTATTGTTATTAACATTTGCATCTAACACGTCACTGCCACGAACCACATTGTGCTTTTTCAAGTAGCAGCATCAGAGCTACTGTGTCAGCCACAAGAGAAGTTTGGAATGACCCAAGGGAGACATACAGCAGATCATTCAGTTAAATGCGTTTCCTGTGTTGTCACATTCATGCAGTCCTAAAGCATGGCGTACAATCAGAAGAGGCAGAAGCCTCTATTGAGTAAAGTACATCACCAGAGTTTAATGTAGGATTTCGGGACTGCTCTCTGTCATCTGCCACTTGAATTGCAATCACGCAGTTACCTACCTGTTTACAGATATATAATACTAAAATGCTATAATGTGATAGAAAGTACAGCAGTAATAGCAGGGTGGCACAATCCTAGACTGCAGCAAACGAGGACAAGTCCAGATGCAACAGCCATAGATACAGAAACAAAAGAAAATCTGCTTACCTTTGGAAGGCCTCAGTTATGCAGGAATCTCCAGAGAGATCCCCTCACCTCCATGCCAACCCTTAAATGAGGACCAGGAAGGGCTGGATCCCAGCTCCACCCCTTCTCATCACACAGGTGCATTGCATTGCATGCACCTGAGCTCCCCCATGTTGGCCCTCCCTTCCCACCAGGTGCTCAATCACTGCTTCAGGCCATGACTTAGCATTGCTGCTACAAGGTAATCCGATATTATCTTGCACATGAATGTTATACTTTTTCTGTGGTATGCAACAAAGTACAAGAGCTGTAAATTCATCAGTCTGGATTTTTCTTCCTCTTTATTCTCCTCCTCCCATCTTCCTAACACCTCATAAATTAATGCTTAGAAAACCCATGTATGATGCAGAGAGAACACATTCAAGCAACTCATTTTGCTTTCTTTCTCTCTCGGAGAACACTTTCACAGTCATGCAATGCCATTATCCTCACACAAGGATGTCTGCCTCCAAGGTTTTGACCAGAAAGTCTTATCTAGATTTGAGAAGTCTTAAAGTTTAACTGAAACTGATGTAATTTATTTCCAGACATTTATATTTTCCAGCAGAAGGAATATACTCGCATGTGGGATCCAACCCAGTGCTCTGGCTGGAACTAAAGTGCTAAAAAGTCTCCAGCTCTCCTCTGGCAGCAGTTCATTAGGGCTGTGGATAGATGAGCTGACTGTGACCCCATCCCTCTCCCAGGACCAGCACTGTGAGAGGGCAGAGCCCAGTGTGAGACAGGGAACAGCCAGGGCTCCTCAGCAAGAGCAAGCCGACCCTTTGACTAATTTGCAGTCATCATTTGCTTCCCAGGTCATATTCTCTAACACACAATGTGATGATATCCTTAGTATTTTTTTTTTCCCCCCCTCTAGAGAAAGATGAAGAACTGCAGACTCCATTGTTTCCCACAGCTCCAAGATCAGCAATAAACACACAGCATCATTTTCTCACCCAAAAGCATTTTAATTTTTGACAAATTCCATATCACAAGTGTTATATAAAAAAAGCATCGTTACAGGGATGGTGAAATGCTAATAATGTTCCATGAGCAAACCAATGCCCAATGTTTAGGCATGCAATCAGAGCAATCAATGTTTCCAATGTCTCTTCTTCATATCCTTTTCTTGAGCAACCCAGGACACCAAGGGCAGTGAGCTGAAGACATCGGTCACTGCAAATGCATTGCTGAAGTGATGTCAGCTGAGTTCCACTGTCCTCCCTCACTTCAGGCAGCTCTTTGGCAGGGCCCAACACTACAAGCCCAGCTGGAAAGGAGTACGCCCATCCCAAATGTTTGCACCAGTGATACTGAAGGTGTCTGAGAGCTTGCTGGGTCAGCATGGCAGAGCAGCCATGTGGCACTCAATTGAATGACACTGCATTGCATACAGCAAGGCTCACCTGGCTCCACGGGACCCCACACCCCCAAATGGTGGCACCAGGTGCTGCAAAGTCACTGTAGTGAATCCTGTGCCATCTGCCCTTCTGGCTGTGAACATAGAGACTCCTGGACATGCCAGCCAGCCACGGCTGCCAGAGCAATCCCTGGGTGACAGCTTGTGTGAGGGACAGGACTGTGTCCAGATGGCCCTGGATTTTAAGGAACTGCACTGAGAGAACATAACTGAGCTCACCCCTCCCACATCAGCAGTGAGGGAGGAGCTCTTCCTGCTCCATATTGCCCACACCTTGTCACCTGCCATCCCTGACAACCCCACTGCTGACAACGCCACCCCATCACCCAGAAGAGCTGGCAGTCATCCCCCTCCCCCCCAAATGGTACTGCCTGTCACTTCTCCTCTACTGCCCACCCAAGGTCCCGCTCACTCTGCTGCCTGCCCCTTCTCCCTTCTGTGTCTCCTTCTTTACTGCAGCCTCCCATCTGTCATCCAGACCAAGCCCAAGCAGCAAATCACTTCTCTCAGCATTGTGCCCTTCTTCCAGGCTTCTACACACCTTTTTCTTCCATCCTACAGTAAGGTCATACTTCTTAACCTCCCTTTCCAGATGCTTGCATGCCTTCTTTTTTTCATGCCATTCTTCCTTACCGTATCCCAGTTTGTTCTTCACCAACAGTGCCAACTTGGACCCTCTGTTCAGCCACTTCTTCAACTGCAGTTTTTTGTCCTCCAGTCCTGGTACCCACTCCTCACAGCACTCTGTGGGTCGATAGGCCCACCCTGTAAAAAGTGTTCCTGATGTGGGAACTTAAAAATCATAGCAAATAGGTTAAATGTAGCAGCCAATCTATGACATAAATTGTTCCAAGTTAACCAAGACACCCAATATAAAGAATGTAACAGTGTTGTGTCAGTGACCAGTCTTCTCTTCAACAGGATGAACTTACCCTACAAGCATTTTTTTTCCTTTAAGGGGCTCTTGATGTGATGTTGGATGGACACCTTTTAACAAGGCATGTGTTATCACACTAAAGCAGCACCCAAACAAAAAATAAAAAGCTTTTCTATTTACTAAGATTTGTTTTTATTGAGGATAGATTTACTGGTAGGACTAAGGAGATTGGATCGCTCTTCCCTCACCATCTAACAAAACATGGTCTCCCAAGAGAAGAAATACAAGCCTGTGGAGACCTCATCTCTATAATAGTACTATTGAGGCCCATCTGTGAAGAAAACCTGCTCTGTGCTGCAAAACCAGCTCTTCTCACTAATTAATCTCTTTGCTCCAGAAAACATAAGTGTTTCTTTCTGACTCTTCTTTTGTCCACCCCAGGCACACCGTGAGCCCATTCTTATCTCCCTCCCCTTCTCACCAGTCTCCTCTGTACCATCAGTGGCCACTGATAATCACATGTCAGGAAGCACCTTGACCCTCATCCCAGCAGTGCTAATAGGTGAGGTGCACAAGGTGTTCATCAGCTCAGCTTGCCAGCTTGCCTGGAGTCGGGTCTTGTTGATTGGATTACATCTGAACAGCACTTTAGCTGCTGTAATATCAGGAAGTTCAGCAGAGCCCCTGCTATTGTCACCTCATGCCTATCACTTGAGGGACACCGAGGCTTTATTTCTCCTGCTATGAAATAATGACTAACCAGAGCACTGAACTCTGATAGGCAAAAAAACTCATCAAGTATTTGCAAGTATTCTGCCATTTGTCCCTCTGTGCTCACTAGAGTTGTTAGCACTGAGCTGAGAGTAAGGAGAAAAAGCCCCCACACAGCAGTTGGGTCTACAGCCCAGACTGAGAAGTGTGGAGAAGGGGCATGGAGAGCATCCTAAAGTCGTTCCCCCAGGGCTGTAGGAAGGGCCCAATTCTGCTTTACACAGTTGTGATTCACAGAAAGGCAGATAAACCTCATTCTGTTTTTCTGTGTGTATGCACATACATGTGCTTGGAAAAAGGAGGCACATTCAGACCATAAAGACAAAAAACAAGCAAGAGCCACATACAATGATTTCTTACCAGGATTTAAGGATCTGAGATTTTTAGGGTCCTGAGCAACACGAAAGTTTCAGAACCTATTTACTTCTGAAGAAACTCTGAAAGAGACTAAGGAAATGTTAACACTTCAACAGTTAAATCAGCTTCTCTTATTCTATATAGGACTGCAGTCCTCTGTAGTTTTCCATAGCAAAGAAACCTCTTGTAAGAAGTTAAAATTGAGGCTGGCAGGCAGTACAAAATAAAACTTGGCTTGCAGCATGTGACTGGTGTGAGTGCTGCACTCATGACCCTGGTAGGCAGAGGGCACCTCCAGCTCTTTCCCCTCACCCCAAGCAGAGGATTTCAGCCCTCAGCCAGGACAGACCTCATGCTCTACAAGGCCATTTCCAAGGGACCAGGAGTGGTGACACCAGCAGATGGTTCTGCGGCCAATGAGAAAAATAACAGGGGCTGGAAAAAAAAAAATAAAGTGAAACATATTGAAAAACTTAATCTTCAGGGATGGAAATGGAAAGCATAGCAATGACAGCAGAAAAGCAAGGCCCCAAGATACAGTAAGAGAGGATCTGCTCAAAATCAACAGTCACAAGCACAGGGGAAAAAAAGAAAGAAGATACTTACCTTCAGAAGACCACAGTTTCACAAGGACCTCCAATAACAGACCCCTGCCTCCACTTCCAGCCCTTAAATGAGTGCTGGGAAGGGGTGGATTCTGGCTCCACCCCTTCATCATTCAGCTGCATTGCATTGCATTGCATGCACCTGTGCTCCCCTGGGTTGGCCCTGCCTTCCCACCAGGTGCTCAATCACTGCTTCAGGCCGTGACTTAGCATTTCTGCTCCAGTCTTCCAGGAAGAAATTCATTTACTTCTTCATTTTAGTTCCCTCATTAAAGGTAGCCCAGTCAGGATGAAGCTAAGTATACCTAAAGAGTAACTCTTGTAATGGTGTAGAAACACCCAGACTGGAGTGAGTGTTCCAGTAGTTAGACTCAATTATCCTTATGGATCATTCATGAACTCTCCCAGCTTGGGATATTCAATGGTTCTATGATACTGCAGAATGCAACCTGAGTCTATAGATGAAAAATCCAGCTAGCAAACCTACTCTTTGTCCGTTACGTTTAAATGAAATCAAGATACCACTGTTAGTAATACATCCTCCATGTTTCATGGGGCACACAGAGAAAGATTGGAGCAGAGGGCAACGCTGGGTGCCTTGGGGAGATGCATGCATCTGGATGGTCATGCATGGAGCAAAGAGAAACCAGTTCTGCAAAGGTACCGGGAGATCATCTTCCTTCTCTTGGCCAGAGCTGGAATTAATGGGTAAAAGCAGAGCTGGCTCCACCTGACACAGACTGGTCAAAGCACTTATCCCCAATGAAATCCATGACCATTACAAACTGGAAAGCAATACACGGACATTCTTCTCTCCCCTTGCTTCACACTTCACCTTCTTTCCTTTTGGATGCTCCTATTAGAAGCAGAAGATATTTCACGTACATTAGGTGCTCAGCTGGCATAAGCTGGACTTTGGAAAGCTATTGTAATTTATACACCCGCAGGATCTGGCTATAAGCTTTTCATAAAGCACTCAAGCCCATGCCTTGTAGAAAACTGCTCTCTGAATGAATCCAGACCATTTTAGCACAGGATACCTTTTGATGCTTGAAAATCTGGCCGAAGAGCCATCAGCAAACGGAAATAATGGGAGGAACAAATTATCGAATTATCAAATTTGGGACAGGTGTCCCCCAAAGAGAGGCTGGGCTGCCTATGACCTTCCTTTGAAAGGCTCATTTTGTGCACCTCCCGTACGACCAGTTCTGTTACACATTAATAGTCTCTTTCCATAGCAACACCTGACCCTTCCCTCCCCTTGCTGTGATTATACATACATATATACAGATATATACAGATATATTTTCCCTGCCTGGGGAAAGGATGGACAGCTGACAATTTTCTGTGGCATCAGCACAATTTAATGAAAGGAAGGCTTTTCAAACAGCAAGAGAGCTGGAATGCTTCTTTAAAAAGAGAAATATGGGGAGTCATGGGATCCACAACTGTGTCAACAGCACAACAAGCTGTTATCTGTCGCTTCAGCCTGGCTCCTGCTTCCAGAAGACTGTACTGTGACAAGTATTGAATAAATGTGGGTGACAGCACTTTGGAAATGGGCCACTGCCAGTGCAGCTGCAGGGGATGGGAGGTGTAGGGAAGAGCTCTGGGCTGGGGAAGGCGATGGTCCACTCTGAGACAACAGTTCTCTCACAGACAATGCGGTAACGTTGGTCTGTAAGCGCCTGGCTAAAGTCCCAGCTCCACTCCAACCATTGCTGGTTACTGCTTTTTGAATGAAAAAGGTGTTTTGTGTTCAAAAAATCTTTCATGGCATTGTTCAACCCGTGGTATGTAAAGAAGGTTGGGCACAGCTCAGCCCCCTGATGCCTCCTGCAAGTAGAGAGTACAAAGACAACAGCGTTGTACCCAGAAGGAAAGCAGTGCCCAGCAGTGGAGCACATAGGGGCTGGAGAGCAATTCCTTCCAGAAATTATACCGTGCTTACAGGAAAGCAGTTCGGACAAATACAGAAGTAAGAATTAAATCTGTGCACAAAGCAAATCTGTAACCAAAGGGGAAAAATGTGATCAGGTCCAAAAACACACCATCGAACCACTTGGAGTCAAGAAAAAAGCTGTTAATAAAAATCCCTTGAAACGAGGATAGCATCTCTTGCTAAAGCAGGTAACACACATGAGTGCTACCCAGCACTGGGCCACAGATTGGTTCCACGATGCTGAAATGTAGGGGTGAGAAAAGCAGGTCCTGTAGGTTGGTCCAGTATGGTTGGTGTCAGGCTGGAGATGCATTTGGAGGAGTTGAATCCTATAAGACAAGCTCAGGGTAAAAGCAGATTCCCTGATTGGGTTAACAGAGAAACAAAACAGACTTTTTGCACTGATAGAGCTGCTGAATTATAAAACAATAGCTTGCACAGAAAGACACCATTGTATCTAGGAAATCCAGCACAGGATGGATCCGCAGCCTAGAGATAAGGGAGCAGGCAGGTAAATTGAAGGCTGGCAATGACCCAGCACTGCAAAAGAGAGCACTGGAAAGCATCAAGTGCATGCTACTGATACTCAGCGCTCTGATGTGAAGAAAAGGTATTATCCAGGGGAAAAAAATCATTCATAGGGGCCAAGAGATTAGGGAGCATGTTTGTTCCAACTGCGAGGAGCAGGAGGCAACCTACCAACATACCAAAATATCTTAGCATCTCTCATTAGAGCTGATGATTTTCTTCTCTTTTTCCTCTCCCCGATGAAATTGATGTGTCCAGTTTGTTGTGCCTGAAACATTTTGATTCATCCCCAAAGATCCACACTGAGGATAAAGCTCAGGGGCTGCGCGGCCGTCAGTCGGGATCCCCGGGTTCACAGCCCTGCAGCAACGCCGCCAGGGAGGCTGAAACAAAGCAGGGTTGAAATTCCCAATTTGTTAACCTTATGGACCTTCTGAGGTTGCTTGCAGCCATAAGAGTGAAAAAGGATGGGGAAGGGGGAGGGAAAAAAAAAAAAAGACAGTGCATTCCTTGCTTGATATTATTATCCCTGGACCGGCGTGGGCTGGGGACCACTGGGGCAGAACAAAGAGCCAACGCAGACATCGGCGCGCTCAGACGGAGGGTCCCACTTGCTGAAAGAGCCAAAAACTTTTGACTTTTTAATCCCAACCTCAGTCAGAAGGTTATTAGACCAATGACCGCTGGGCCTAAACCAACAGCCAGCCCCCGGCCGACGATTCCTCCCGATTATGCTAATAAAACCCAGGACTGCTTTGAAGCCGAAGGATGTTTCTGCTCTCACCGTCCACTGAGAACCACATGTGACGCTCCCTGAGCGTGGTTCCTCTGGCATTCTTGTGCATCACCGATGAAATATGGTCCCACTAAAGTCAGAGGCAAATTGTGTTCAGCTGTGTTTCAGTAATGCAAATACGCTCACGTGTAGGTGTAAAAAAAGCTGCTTCCAATACAAAATAAGAAATTCTCAGGCAAAGGCAGCTTCTTTAAATAAACCTGAAGGGGAAAAGCCAGCAGGGATCTGTTAGCAGGAAAGTTTGAAGCAGTTAAGCTCTCACAGGAGGGCTGTATCCTCCCTCGGTATTCACACCAAGTTCTGAACCCTGAGGCTGAGTTAAGGTTTCATTTCTAGAAAGATATCCAAACCTGATGGTAAAGATTGAGATGATAACAAACTCACTGAGTCCTTTGAAATAACAGTTCGAGATACATTCTGCAGCTTTAAAGCGCTGTTTAATTTTGACATTTTATGAAGAAGATGCTGAAAACCCAAGAGATCAAATTCTGGTCCCAGTGTATGGCTGCAGCTCCGGTCCATCCCCCCACACACCCAGCACAGGTTTTGTTATGTTCTGCCTTTGCACCAAGATGTGAATCACTATCTGCAGGTATAAGCCAGGAGAGCAGGAGTGGTCCCCAAATAAACCCCCTGACAGGCAAAGTTCTTTTCCATTTCTTCAAGCTATCATCTTTTTTGATGCAATTCATTGCACTGGAAACAGCATAGTGTTGCCCACAGGAACTTTCTTGGGCTCCACCTGAAGTTGCCTTATTCCCTCCTGGAGAAGTGTGTGCCCACATTGCCTTTAGCTCATTCAAACACCCAAAGGTTTAACTAGAATGCGACTTTAATTTTCTTTACCATTTCATACCCCTCTTTTACAAAGAATCCCGTCTGTTTTAGGGCACGCTGAAGGACTGGGTGGGGGGCAGAGGCTCTCAGGGGCATCCCCGAATGTTCTCTAAATCCTGGACCTACGGCAAAATAAATCGCTGCCCCGTTCCGGCTGCGCGCATTCGGGACGCTGGGCTGAAAATCGCCCTCTCGGCACCGCGCATTCCCTGCGCTCCTCCGCGCCCCTCCGCGCAGCCGGAGCCGCGTCCGCGCAAAACCCGCGGGTGGAGGGAAACGGCGGCGAAAAGGACCGATATGGGGAGTGCAAAAAGTTCGGAGGGGGAGCGGGTGCGATTCGGGAGTGGCTGCCTGAGGTCCGCGGGTGCGCGGAATCCGCGGGTTTGGGGCCTGAGCCCGGGGCCCACCCGGAACTTCGGCACGGCCTGAGAGCTCAATTAGCATTATCTTGATGAATTTATAGGCAGCGAGTCCTTGCTGTGCCTTTCAGAAGTCGCAGGGCACACTGTCCCCATCTGTTCCTTTATGATTCTTAGTTCCTTTTTCTTTTTTTTAAATTTTATTTAATAGTAATAGTTGACCTAATATATATGGCTGGGGGAGAAGGGGAAGATGCGACTCGTACGACGTCAATCAAAACTCTTCCTGAAGCCCTCCCCACATGGACGCTTTCTATCTCCCAGCGGTACCGGCAAGATGTTCTTAGCCAAATACATGATTCTATTAATGAGCACTTATATTTGCTAAGGAATGCAAATTCTTTCTCTCCGTGTATTATTAGCCGTATCAGAATGTTTGTCCTTTCAGTCCTCTTTGAAGTTGAAGGAGGAAAGGCTGTTATGTGGCACAGAGAAAGAAAAAAAAAATAAAGAGAGAGAGAGAGAGGGAAAAAACACTTCTAACTCCTCCGGGTTTTTATTTGTTCTCTTGCCAAAAACGCCAAAGGTAGCAAAAGTTACAGAAATTATTT